ATAAGAATTAACTTATAATATTCTTATATTATCTATGCACAGAATAGAATAATAGTTATCACTAGTGTTATCACCGAATACCGATTATACCTTAGATCATATACAATATATATGATCTAAGGATTATACTATTTTAAATCCACGGTATTATTATGAATAATAATTTTGTCTATTACTTTAATCAGTGGCGTATGTACAAATTATTTTCACAATGAGCCAATTTATCACTAGTCAGCATAGTGAGACTAACATAGCCATAACTATACATTTTTTAAGGAGCTGGGTGGTTATAAATACAAATAAAAATTGAGCAATTCAATTTTATAATTATTTTGTAAAATTCATTTTTAATTCTTTTTTAAAAAATATTGACAATTTCATATATACATAATATATATTTTAATGTTATCTTATTGTGAATTTAACACAAAAGTCATCAAAGCAAGTCCAGACAATCTAACATTTCCTTATTGATTCCTCAAAACGATTTTAATCAACCGGTTAAATTAATCATGGTGAAAAACTGTAAACAGTGTAGATATACATGAAATGGTTTAATTGAAAATGCAATTTAACTATGAGCCTCCCCCTATATACGCCACTGACTTTAATACTTTGTTATTATACATTTAAAAATTATAGATATCTTAAGTAGTTGACACCTTTGCTCGGAAAAAAAAAGGAGGATGGAATTAGGAGATTGGTCAAAATGTCCTAAACATTTTAATTTGTTTTTTGTCAATCAATTATTAAGAAATAAAAAAAAAAATAAGTGGATGTGATATACTTTAAATTTTTTGTTTAAATTTTTATGTTTTATTTTTTTTTATTACAGAGAAGATTTTTTTTTTAAATAAAGGTATTTGTTTTAGATGTACTTTTAAAGTTGTCACTTATCTTTATCCTTTTAAATATTCAGCAATATGCTTTATGTGCAATTGCCAATTAGGACTAAAAAATGTCATGCCATCAGGATGTAGTATACAGAATACAATATTATACCTTAACCTAAGCACCCCCCATAAAAAAATCCTAGATCCGCCACTGTATGGATCTATATATCTATATATCATTATACACCTACACACAGCTATATTATTATGTATTATAAATGTATGATGTGCGTGTGTATAATGTATACTAGAAAAACAACGCTACGTTACGTTATTTCTTCTCTTCAGAGTTTATAATATATTATGTAAATATATATTTAAAGCGCGGTGCGTGGAAGAACTTATTGAAACTTTTAGCACTATTTTATTTATAAACCTAAGCACATATTATACCTAGGTAGATAGGTATATATGGACATATGGTGTATAGATGAGGACCGCGTAAAAAACGAGATCGTATTAAACGGGTTTGACTGTAAGTAGGTATATATCGTATATGTAATAAAATAAAATATAATATATATGCGTACTTACTTACGACGGTTTGAATCTTTTTTTGTAACAGATTGATACTCGATATTCGACAGAATGGGTGAATTATGTTTACATAATATATATGTATATATGCGTATTTTAAGACGACGTGTGCTCTTTTTACCCCTTTTTTCGGAAACGTTTAAAATAATAAAATTTCATACGTTCTTCGGGACACAATATAAAATATAATAGCTGTATGAAGCGACTTTTCGGGTACCTATGTAGGTACCTTACATCTACATAATATAGCAACACCTCAATATAATAACATGGCGTGTCCAATATATTATGCATAATGTATTACAATTTAACGCGTCGCAATTATTTTATACTCTATATAACTCATACACGTATAATATGGTCACAGATTTTTATTATTTAATCTTTCCACGGCATTTATTGGAATTTCTGGTATTTATGGCACTATTATAGGTATAATACCATATAAGCATTTATTTTGTAGAATATTATGATAATAGATAATGACAAACAATGATATGAGCATATTTCATATAGATATAATATCAAGCTATAATATGAAAAAATCAAATTATAATGAACAATACTATAATAATAGTTTTAAGCAGTTACAATAAATTGTGACAACAATTTTCTGAAAGATAAATTGAAAAAATCGAGATATTTCCTCATAATATGTAATAATATATAGAATATGTGTATGTATGTCATAATAATGTTATGTATCGACGTGTTGAATTATGGGTTTGTATTACATATTTTGCTTGCGATAAGGTGTGTTCCCGATAAGAATCTGGAGATATAGTTTGGCACTGGGTTTAAAATGTTCAGCTAGGTTGGACCTACCGAATTTTTTCCTCACCTTGTCTTTTATTTTGTGTTCTGTGTAGATGTTTTTGACTTCACGAGAGATACACCACACCATATAATCAAATAGGAGCTGGGTGTTGTCTTTTCATTAAATACTGCAGGTGAGTATAAGACGTATAGCCATGTAGGTGATATTCTGAGTCAATTTATGGAGATCTCATACTTTCTTGGGGTAACATTTTACAATTTGTTTTCATGCACGGCTTTGTATAATTCCGAATGTGATATGTGTCCTGTTATAACATATTATAACATAAACAATCATATCACCGTATAAATGTGTTGATATAGGTAGCGAAATTGTACAACAACACGCGTTTGTAACGAAAGTTATTATTACATTTTAAATGCGACGTATCAAAAGTGTAACTTACAAAATATAATATATAGATAGGTATGCATAACAAAAATTTAAATTTGATAAATAATTTTGTAATTTGTCAAACTAAAAAACTGTCGAAATAATTCGTCTGCTATTTTACTATTTCCGCGATTACGTTGCGCGTTTTGTTTTTAGCTGACAAATGCATTTTTAATGGTGTTTTCCTGGTTTTCTTTTAGGACATCGACGTACAGACCATAATCATTATACATTATTATAAAGAGACCGCTTATTACTGTTGTGGCGTTCGAGTCGAAAATTCTGAATAAAATACATTCGTCATTACAATACACGAATTTCTCATTGCAGGTAAACGAAATTATATATCATACGCACTTTATAATGTTATATGTTTATTGTGCTATGTAATAAATGCATATTATAATATGATACACAGATAAATACATATACTGTAGTTATCGTATAATACCATGAATAGTGATTTTTTTGCAAATCTCATTCGCAACCATCGTATAGTGGTAAGGAGGGGGGTATATAATATTATAAATTATTGCCAAATGAAGGCGACGGCTTTGTGACGAATCAATCCACTTATAAACGGACCGATTTCACCAGCATTTACCTACCTATAATATACTTTTTAGATTTCGCGTCATCGTAATAATAGTAACACTACTAACACTATTATAATATATTATTCTAAAATTACCGGTTTCCGCGTCAATATACTTTTCACCTACCAGTATTACCTAACCCGACCAACAAATTATAATAATATCATGTTATATATTATATTTTCGTAAAGTACAAAATAATCTTACTGATTTATCAGAAAAATATATTATTGTCAGCCGATGATAGCCACTCCGAGTCGCGGAAGCTCATTAGTAATAAAAAAAAATCGTCCTAATTATTTCTCTTTTCTTTTTTTGTTCGTTATAACTTTATTAGTACAAAACGTGCACAACAACTTGTCATTCCGTCCTCGGCACACAACCGCATAAACCGTAGTCCGTAACCCGCTCGCATAGTTATATGAATAATAATATAATAGGTACGCGTAGGTACCTAGGTTAGGATATAATATACTCTCCAGCAACAACAATAATAATAATAGGTAGTCGACGCGGTCCTCGAGTATCTACGCCCGCGGCAAATTAATACCACTGCATATTGCGGCCGTACACAACATAATATTATTATGTTATACCTATACAGAGGAGCAGCTGCTGCGGCAGCGTACGATAATAATATTTTGTTTAGCCGACTGTAATATTCCTTATTCTAGATTCAAAGATAAATTTACATAGGTACGGCGGTGGTTTTTTTCTCCCGACACAGATAAGAGAACGAGCCTGTATATTATTATTATTATATCGCAGAGGGTAATGGGGAGCTATATCGTTGTTTACACTCTCTCACACACACACGCACACAAAAACACAGTGCCGGATCTAGGGGGGGGGGAAGTGGGTACTCTTGCCCCGGGCGCTGTTGGTATCAGGGCGCTCTTAAGATTATGAAAAATAAAAAAATAAGCTAAAAATATCTCATAAAATATGTATAAATTATAATACTATATATTTAAACAGAATAAATAATATTAGATATTCGAATACGTTTATCTTTTGTTTATATTTTGGTCCGGCACTCCAAATTTAATTGGTGTTAAGGCGGCTCTAAACGATTGGATTTTTCATGCATTTAGACCAATAAGCTGGCGAAAAATACACATACTTCTAGTAGTCCAATTTCAATTTTGAATACTTATTTGGATTCGTTAGCCTCTTTTCTATGATCTGTAGGAAAAACTTTTTCATCTTTTTGTCTAGTTAGCACTTAAAAGTGCAAGTTAAATTTGAGAAATCAAGCAGTCATTTGGAACCCCGTAATATACGTAAATTATCTAAAATATCCAAAATCGGTTTCCTACAAATCATAGAAAAGAGGCTGACGAATTCAAATAATTTTTCAAAATTGAAATTGGACTACTAGAAGTATGTGTATTTTTCGCCAGCTTATTAGCATTTTTCACTGTTGTGAGTGTACAAAAATATTTTTCGAGAGTGATTACGTTGACTTGTGCATGCGCGTACGTGTGCTATTGAACCGTGTGCCCGCAGCCGGGCGATATAAAATCTATTGTTATCGAGTTCGAATTTCTTCGAATTTCACACTAATAATCATTTACGACTAACACATAGATTACGGGCGGCGACGACAAGATTAGAAATTGCCTAAATTGTTCCCCTTAAATAATAGCCACTAAGAGCCGCCTTAATTGTGCAAAAAGTATACCTAAAGTAGAAACATTTTTCGGCATCGTACAGAAGTTATTTAATTTCTTTTCAAGTTCAACGCAAAGATGGGATATTCTAATGAATAATTTAAAGTTGTCATTAAAATGGTATAGTACAACAAGGTGGTCAGCTAAACATCGTGCAATAAAATCATTAAATACTCAACTGGATATGGTTTTTAAAAGCTTTGACGTTCTACAACAAGAAAAATTATCAGAAGAAACAAAATTTGATGCAGATAATTTGATAAGATCACTTAAAAGTTTTTCTTTTATTTGTATGCTTACGGTTTGGGAAAAAATTCTCAGTGCAATTGACAGGATTAATATAATTTTACAAAAACCAAAATTAACAATTGATGTAGCTATCAAACATCTGCAAAGTCTCCTTAAAATATTAGAAAACTTTCGAGTGCAAGGTATAAATGAGGCTTTATTGGATTCAAAGAATAAAGCTGAAGTATTAGGCATAGAAACGGAATTTCCAAAAGTCAGATTACGAAAAAAGAAACTTTACCCGGAGAAATTGCAGAAGATGAGTTTTGTAACATAAGTGAAGAAAATAAATTTTTAATAATGATTAAAAATGTTATTGACAATATCTTAATAGGACTACGTCAAAGATTTAAATCAATGGAAAATATTGCTCAAGATTTTTCATTTTTAGATCCAACAATAATTTATTCTTGGCCTATGGAAAACTTGAAAAGAGCGGGAATCGATTTATGCAATAAATATGAAAACGACCTCAACAAAATTGAATTCATTTCAGAACTAGAGAGCTTTAAAGAGCATGTTTACAACATAGATGACGATTTAAAAAGAGAAACATTTTTTGAAATGTTGAATTTTATTTATAAAAATAAACTTCAAGATGCATATCCAAATAAATCCGTTGCTTACCAAATATATCTTACAATGCCAGTTACTTCAGCATCGTGTGAACGAAGCTTTAGCAAATTTAAATTAATAAAAACATATTTAAGATCTACTACGGAGCAAGCAAGACTTAATAACTTATCTATTTTATCCATAGAAAATAAAATTGCAAGACAAATCAATTATGAAGACATAATTAATGATTTCGCTGCAAAAAAAGCTAGAAAAGTTAATTTTTAAATTTTCAGATTATAATTTTTTTACTTAATTAAAATAATCAAGAGATTTTTTATTTAGGTTTTTGTTTTTATATTTTTTAATGGTTTTTAACTATAATATAGACTATGATCTATAATATTATAATATATGTTAAGACAACGATTTAAATAAAAAATATTTGTTATATAAAAATATACTTTTGATTTGTGCCTGTTTAAAAAATTTTTTAATTGTGTTGACAACCCTTGAACCCTAATCTCTGTAGCTAATACTATGTAAGGGCGCTACATTTTTATTAGCCCCGGGCGTTAAATGTCTTAGATCCGGCACTGCAAAAACATATACATGTATGATAATATTATAAAATAGGTACGTGTACTGTACATCATAATGGTTACAGACTATGATAATACGCAGTCGTAGTTGTGCAAAAATGTTATAATATATTATGATCAGGCAATACTACTACTACGGTTTTTCTCGAGTGTGACAAGTTCATTGAAAGCCCTGCGATGCACATTAAAATATTAGGTATTTTATTTTATCGTATATTATGACATATTATTATGATATACGCAACAGATACACTACAACTGTATCTATACACAGTCTATACATACATGTATGTATCCTATAGGTATGTAATTTAATATTTTACTATTGTAATAATAATTGCACCTATACAACTACTCTAAATTGGTTGCGGGTGGTTACGCGTTTTTAGTGTCGTTATTATTTCGTTATAATTGCTCTCTGTGTGCGTGTATAAGCAAGTAAATACCAATTGGCTATTATACACAAAAATGCCATTATTTTATACCGTATCTAATATCTGTCTCACAAATTGACAAACTAGATATCCTCTCGTTTGTACGATAATAATAATCAATTATTATTATTATAATTATAAGAGATCATTATACAATGCAATATAATATTATACTGAAGTTGTAGAACTTTGAAAGTTCTGCAGACGAATTCGTGATTATTTTCGTCCGGAATAGGTATCTGTAATACCTACTGAAGATTTTTCAAGGGTATATATATTAGGTATTATACTTGGTATACCCGCCAAATTGCAAAAAAAGTTCGATCTGATAACGAATTAAAAAATTAAAATCAATTAAATACAAAATAGGATGTAACTGCACAGGTGCTCAAAAAGGGTCGTAATAAATTTAATTTAATTATTTATCAAAGTTGAAAAATCAGTTATATTTTTTTTTAATAGTGTTTCCAAGTATTTAAAAAAATGAAAACATCTGTACAATACTGAATACAACACTCCGTGTGGGGCGGGGAGGGGGTCCCGAGTATAACGAAATTGTTGAAAATGAATTTGTTTAGCGGGTTAATATATTGTTTTTTATGTTCTGGAAATTTGGACTTTCGTTATAAGTAGAGACCGGATTTATATGCGCTTAAAATCTTGAAAATAAGATTATTCTACGCTCTATAATTTCATCAAAATAATCTTTTATGAAAAAATATTCTTTTTCATAAAAAATGTATCAAACACTGAGAAAACAAATAAAAGTAACAGTTCATAAAAATAAACAGTTATATTTAATCTATAATATGGTGTACCTATATTTAACAGTTGTAACACAAACTTATGAATTCAAAAAATAAAAATACTAATATAAAAAATAAAAAATAATTGCATGTACCTACCTAGTTCATTAATAGAATAATATTATATTATGTATTCAAACTCAAACTTAAATAATTCAGCCTTATGAACTCAAAAAATAATAATAATAACAAGTTTTAAGTGATAAAAATAAAAAAATTTTTATTATCTATTAGATTTTTATAAAATATTCAAATTTGAACCCAATATGGCAATATATCCCTAAAACATGTTTTTTCCACAAAATATTCTTTAACCTTAAAATATTCTTTTTTATGCGCTAAAAATTTTTATATATCAGTTCATAGGTAAATGAATCGTCGAGAAAGCTTATCCAATTGAAGCTGCATACTCTCAGTAAAGATATGTAAAAACATAAAAATCCGGTCTCTAGTCATTAGGTATAATGTGCGGACATGCGTTCACCGGACCATCGGGGATCCGGACCATCGAGGATCCGGATCAGCGAGGTTCTACAACAACTGTATATAATATAGTATTTAATATTATGTTATATTTTCCGCTTGGTTTAAAATATATACAGGTTTTGCATAATATGTAGGCTCAGATTGTTATCATCAGATACAAAATGCCTGCGAGTAACGGAATGTCACAGATAACAGTTTTTCGTGTATACCATAATATTACATATTATATAGGTATTTACTCGATTATTATTATTATTATTGGCCTTTATACGCCGACATTTTTGTTTTCAAATCAACTATTTGACGGGTGAAGGGGTGAAATGTGAATGTAAATACTAAATATTATAATATTATATATAATATATATATATTTTATTTTTTTGTACCAAAGAAATATGATACAAATATACGCAATAACTTTGTGTAATTCATACGCATGATTTTCACGTACCTATATAGGTACGCGTGCTGCAAGGCTCGCTAAAAAATCGGTCAAACTCAAACCACTTAAATCCGCGTCATCATTATTGAATAGGTAATATATTATTCGCGTACCTATACTTACCTATTAACTTCGTGCGTCCGTCGTAAAAACAATACGATATTATAATCTTTCCAGAAACATAATTATTATTATGATATTTACGATATAATATTATGTAGAGTCGTTAAAAATCAAAGCCGTCTGTCTATACATATATATATATAATATGATGGCCAGACTCGGGGGAATCAATTAAATTCGTGATGTTTGATAGTAATTATTATTATACATAATATAATATATATATATATATACCATCAGGTTTATATATTATGATATCATCACGGGTAACGATATTCACGATTTCCATTTCGATTGAATCGTAAAAAAACATAATAATTATAATATTTCTTACCGAGTGTTTCATAATTAGTTAATGGAAATGTTATTACTTTTTCGAACGTTAAAACAGAAATAATCACATGCCGCACTAAAATGTATTATTATAATACCCACCTCGTCGATTTTATGTAAATATTTGTTTGAATATCACTTGCTTTCGGCGGATGGAAGAGAAATATGATATTTTGTTAAGAATTCCAGACGGTTACAACCGCCGCTCCAAGACCCTGTCTGTATACGGCACTGAAGCTACGGTGACGGAGGTTCGGTTTATTATTATTATTATTATTATTATTTAGTTTGGACCCAAGACGGATGGTTTGAAACGATGGTTGTGTCTTGCAGCGAGGCGTCGGTATCAAAACTTAAATATTTGACTATTAAAATTTAAAATTAATATCGTTGAAAATTAATCAAATCGCGTATCTTAAAAAAAAAAATAATAATAATAAATAAAAGTGAAGGTACATAATATATACTTATGTGTATTTATTGAGGAAGTTAAAATACTTTTAATATATTATAATAGCAATCTTTCGGCCGGTTGGACGGATACCAAGACTCGTGTAAAATAAAACCGTGATTCGAGTGGTTTTGTCGTATACTTTATCGTGTAATAAATTAAACCGCGGTGGTGTGAGTGTGTGACTAGACGCCTAGGAATGCCAAAACTATTTTCAAAAGCCAAACATATATCGTTTTAATTCCCGAAAACAGCTTTGACCTATAATTTACCAACATATCTAAGTTATAGGACCGCTGCAGTGTATCCCGTTAAGATGCATAATATTATCAGTTAATATGCTTAGATATCGCCAAAAAAATAAGAGTCACATCAAATTTCCATAATAATTTGTATCGGAGTTTTTTTATAATGGGAATGGATATTGCAGCGCATCTGCACACGAATCAAAAAATATCCATATAGAGGAAAATTCAAAGCTCAGTGGGTGATTATTTTTTTATTCAAATTAAACATAAACGTTATTTATTTTTTTATCACTGATTTAGTTAAATATAACTAAACATTCTTAAGTTCATAGATATTATACGTTAATTAATAATTTAATATATCAATAAAAGTATATAGGTATTAACACGTGGGTAAAGAGTAAAAATGTTCTCTCATTCGGTAATTTTTAATGATTTTTTTGAATAATATACAATCCAGTGTCATATCCAGAATTTTTTTTTCAGGGAATGTTTAAATAAATGTTTGTTTTATCTGAAAATCATATAATATGAAAAGTGTACAAAACTTTTAAATACCTGAGTATTCTATGCTCACAGATACAGAGATACCAGCTAACTTTTAAAGATTTTATTATTCGTTAAAGAAGATCCTTGGACCATTTCCGATGTAATCTCCTTGTGGATCTTTTCGGAAGAGTTTTTATTTGTATAATAAGAAAATTATTAGATATAATATGTTATAGTTGAATATTTTGTATGACAATATTTTTTTTACATAAAAACTCAATAAAATATAGTGTCACTTATATTTGCAGTAATATACAAACAAAAAAGTTTTCACTCGCCTCTATTCGAAATTTGAATTTTTCCGCAGTACTTGCTATTATATTATGCCATGTGTATAAAATAAGCTGTATTATAAGTTACATGTATTTAAGCCGTCTCATATTTATTTATTATTTGTATATATAGTTATACATATATGTATAAAAGCTGACGTCCTTACCAACGTCATAGAATAGAAAATCAATTCTCAAAAACCTTTAATGATGAGCGTCACACACTGACGCACGTACACTGTCACCTGTAAATACTTACACTATGCCGCAGGACCTCTGCATTGCCGTACGGGACCTCAAACATATTATTATTATTATTTTAAAGTTTTATACTATGTTACTATACTGGTCGACGTTTGGGACGTGGAGCGATGGGGTTTTATTTTCTTAGTGAAAAATCGCCAACCGCGAAAAATCGTGACGATTGGCCGACCGCGTGAAAATGATCAGAGCAGATGTCTTTTAAAAAACGGTATGCCGATGTCCATGGAGGAGTGCGTAAAAGAAAAAAAGCGCTCTGCAATGTAGGTCGCAACCACCAC